AACACTACTGCGCATGCGTAACAGTGATAGAACACTACTGCGCATGCGTAACAGTGATAGAACAATACTGCGCATGCGTATCATTGACAGAACACTACTGCGCATGCGTATCATTGACAGAACACTACTGCGCATGCGTAACATTGACAGAACACTACTGCGCATGCGTAACATTGACAGAACACTACTGCGCATGCGTGACATTGTGAATATGTATACATTTGTGTTAATATTATTTTTAAAAGATATACATATATATACGGCTAGGGTCGGTCGGTCGGTCGGTCGGTCGGTCGGTCGTTCTTCAACTTAATATAATAAGAGATTGTCTCGACTCTTTGGTAAAAAATCTAAAATTATCAAAAATTCGAAAAAATTCAAAAATCCGATTTTCTTAAAATTCAACATTTTTTCTTCTTTTTTATGGGATTTAGCTTCATTATTTTTGTGCTTTTGAAAACTACTTTATTTATTAAATTGTCTCGACTCTTTGGTAAAAAATCTAAAATTATCAAAAATTCCTAAAATTCAAAAATCCGATTTTCTTAAAATTCAACATTTTTTCTTCTCTTTTATAGAATTTAGCTTCATTATTTTTGTGCATTTGGAAAATACTTTACTTATTAAATAGTCTCGATTCTTTGGTAAAAAATGTAAATTATCGAAAATTATCAAAAATTCAAAAATCCGAATTTCTTAAAATTCAACATTTTTTCCTCTCTTTTATAGAATTTAGCTTCCTTATTTTTCTGCTTTTGGAAAATACTTTACTTATTAAATTGTCTCGAATCTTTGGTAAAAAATCTAAAATTATCAAAAATTCCTAAAATTCAAAAATCCGATTTTCTTAAAATTCAACATTTTTTCTTCTCTTTTATAGAATTTAGCTTCATTATTTTTGTGCTTTTGGAAAATACTTTACTTATTAAATTGTCTCGAATCTTTGGTAAAAAATAAAAAATTATCAAAAATTCGAAAAAATTCAAAAATCCGATTTTCTTAAAATTCAACATTTTTTCTTCTCTTTTATGGGATTTAGCTTCATTATTTTTGTGCTTTTGGAAAATACTTTACATATTTAATAGTCTCGACTCTTTGGTAAAAAATCTAAAATTATCAAAAATTCGAAAAAATTCAAAAATTTGATTTTCTTAAAATTCAACATTTTTTCTTCTCTTTTATGGGATTTAGCTTCATTATTTTTGTGCTTTTGGAAAATACTTTACTTATAAAATTGTCTCGACTCTTTGGTAAAAAATCTAAAATTATCAAAAATTCGAAAAATTCAAAAATCCGATTTTCTTAAAATTCAACATTTTTTCTTCTCTTTTACGGGATTTAGCTTCATTATTTTTGTGCTTTTGGAAACTACTTTACTTATTAAATTGTCTCGACTCTTTGGTAAAAAATCTAAAATTATCAAAAATTCGAAAAAATTCAAAATTCCGATTTTCTTAAAATTCAACATTTTTTCTTCTTTTTTATGGGATTTAGCTTCATTATTTTTGTGCTTTTGGAAAATACTTTACTTATTAAATTGTCTCGACTCTTTGGTAAAAAATCTTTAATTATCAAAAATTCGAAAAAATTCAAAAGTCCGATTTTCTTAAAATTCAACATTTTTTCTTTTCTTTTACGGGATTTAGCTTCATTTTTTTTGTGCTTTTGGAAAATACTTTACTTATTAAATTGTCTCGACTCTTTGGTAAAAAATCTAAAATTATCAAAAATTCGAAAAAATTCAAAAATCCGTTTTTCTTAAAATTCAACATTTTTTTTTCTCTTTTATGGGATTTAGCTTTATTATTTTTGTGCTTTTGGAAAATACTTTACATATTTAATAGTCTCGACTCTTTGGTAAAAAATCTATAATTATCAAAAATTCGAAAAAATTCAAAAATTTGATTTTCTTAAAATTCAACATTTTTTCTTCTTTTTTATGGGATTTAGCTTCATTATTTTTGTGCTTTTGGAAAATGCTTTACTTATTAAATTGTCTCGACTCTTTGGTAAAAAATCTAAAATTATCAAAAATTCGAAAAAATTCAAAAATTTGATTTTCTTAAAATTCAACATTTTTTCTTCTCTTTTATGGAATTTAGCTTCATTATTTTTGTGCTTTTGGAAACTACTTTACTTATTAAATTGTCTCGACTCTTTGGTAAAAAATCTAAAATTATCAAAAATTCGAAAAAATTTAAAAATCCGATTTTCTTAAAAATCAACATTTTTTCTTCTCTTTTATAGAATTTAGCTTCATTATTTTTGTGCTTTTGAAAAATACTTTACTTATTAAATTGTCTCGACTCTTTGGTAAAAAATCTAAAATTATCAAAAATTCCAAAAATTCAAAAATCCGATTTTCTTAAAATTCAACATTTTTTCTTCTCTTTTATGGGATTTAGCTTCATTATTTTTGTGCTTTTGGAAACTACTTTACTTATTTAATAGTCTCGACTCTTTGGTAAAAAATCTAAAATTATCGAAAATTCGAAAAAATTCAAAAATTTGATTTTCTTAAAATTCAACATTTTTTCTTCTCTTTTATGGAATTTAGCTTCATTATTTTTGTGCTTTTGGAAAATACTTTACTTATTTAATAGTCTCGACTCTTTGGTAAAAAATCTAAAATTATCAAAAATTCGAAAAAATTCAAAAATTTGATTTTCTTAAAATTCAACATTTTTTTTTCTCTTTTATGGGATTTAGCTTCATTATTTTTGTGCTTTTGGAATAAACTTTACATATTTAATAGTCTCGACTCTTTGGTAAAAAATCTAAAATTATCAAAAATTCGAAAAAATTTTAAAATCCGATTTTCTTAAAATTCAACATTTTTTCTTCTCTTTTATGGGATTTAGCTTCATTATTTTTGTGCTTTTGGAAAATACCTTTCTTATTAAATTGTCTCGACTCTTTGGAAAAAAATAAAAAATTATTAAAAATTATCAAAAATCTGAAAAATTGAATTTTTTAAAATTCAACATTTTTTTTCTCTTTTATACCATTTAGCTTTATTATTATTATTTGAATTTTTATTCAAGAGAAAAAATGGAAAACTGAAAAAATTTAGAATTTTTTAAAAATTACAGGCCTTTTCCATGATTTCCCTGATTTCCAGAAGCCTTTTAAAAATTCCATACCATTTCCATGATTTCCAGATTCTGTAGGAACCCTGCTTTTGTCTGACTTTCTTCTAAATTATCGAATTCAGTGATTTCTGGGGTGAATTTGGTTAAGTTGTAAAATGATTAATTTCTATTTGAATTCGTTTTTTTTAATGTAGAAAATCTGATGTTAATTTTATACTTTTTTCGTTATGCACGGCAAAAAATATTTGCTGGATAGACTACAGATTTCACTTTAGTAGCGAAATTATTTAGTGCTTCAATTAATACTTTCGTTATTCTAGAGAAACTTATCGCTATTTCAAGTAAAACTTTTTTCAGTGTGTAATAATTATTATTTCTTTAAAAAGTATTTAATTTAAAATGGCTTTATAAAATAAGCAATGCAAAAGATGACCCAGATACTAATTGTAATTGTTCTAGCCAAATTTTAAGTCTATAGTAATGTAAATTCTATTTAAATTGAGACCATTGAGTGAAATTATTTGAATTTTAGTTAGTTAAATCTCTTTGTTAGGTTATAATAATTATTTCTTTAAAATTTTTAAAATTGTTTAAAATAAGCAGCCCCATACAACATTCCCGCGCGCTTGCGCGCGGATAGTTTGGCTAGTATTAAACTATAATATTAACATTTAGTAAGGTAACAGGGTGTCTACTACTAACGTTCAACAAAATTTCCAGTTTTTTCCGGCTATATTCTAATTTTTTCCCGGTTTTTTTTCTCATCAAATTTAAATTTAATTTCGAACATAAATAAATCTGTAAATTTTTTTTAAAAAAAAGTTTTTCAATAATATTAATTGAAAATGTGGAAAATAATTGAATCAAAATTATGAAAATAATTTAATTCAATTTTTAGAAGCAAAAAATTGATTTAAAACAGTGACTTTAAATTTTAAAAAATATTATAAATACGGTCACTAACTTCCCTTGATTATTCTTCAAAAAAAAAGAAAAAAAATTTTAATTATTTCAAAAATTTTGTTTAGAAAAATTCAATTGTCTTGAAACAATAGAATTGAAAATTTCAACAGTTGTTTTATTTTTTTGAAAGCATGAGACATTTAAATTGAGAGTTATATGAGGTGATAAAGAAGAGTCTCACTTTATCATATTCGTGCGCTAAATTTGAAAAATATATATAAAATATAAGGTAAAAAACAAATGGAATTAATTGGTATTTCTAATAAGAGAATGGTAAATCTGATTTAAAGGGGTAATATTGGTTTTTTTGTTAATGAAATTCTCATTTTTAAAAATGTGGAACATCTCTTTAAAAGGTCTTTTTAAGGTTTAGTTCTGTATAATGGATGATTCTAGTCTTATTAAATAGAAAAGTGTGATCATATTCATTATAAAAGTATATAAATGAAAATAAATAAACAAGAAACTCAAATGTCAATATTTATAATTTAAACCCTGAAATAAAATCTAAAAAATTATCTTTCTTAGCAAGGGATCCTACAGACGTCCTACAGTCCATTTGTCATGAAAGTACTGGGGTAAATTTCAAATGAGATTATGCCAAATAAATTTTATGTGAAATGAATTTTACTAATGAAATTCATGTAAAATGGAATTTATTTGTTAATTTGCTCTACTTCAAATAACTATATTTGGAAATCTGCCTTGCGAAAAATTATCATTTCCTAATAACACATTTTCGGGAAATTGTATTCGAAAAAATAAACCGGGAATCCAAAAAGTCTTTTCATTTTACAAACTTAATTTCACACTGCTTCAAGTTTAAAGCACTCTTCAATAAGCAATAAGAAAAATGATAATGTCAAAGCAATTAAATCTGGGAGCTTAATTGCAGAGTATAAATGCTATGCGAAACAATCTGAATTTATCAAAGATTGGTGCGTTAGCCTCGCAATTCTGAACTCTTTGACCTGCATGTCTTCGATGAATTCTCTGTCATTCTGTCAATCGTTGAGTGTAAGCTTCGATCAATATAGGAAATTTTTGCTGTGTATTAAGCGCATTGAGTGTACTTAACAGATTATTTAATAAAGTTTAAGATGCGTTTAGTAATATGTATCTGCTTAATAGCATTTTTCAACGTTTCCATTATCACTGTATTAGCTGAACAACTGAAAAATGATAAAGTAAGTACAGTGAAATAATAATTTATTAAATACTAATGCATTGCATTTATTGATAATTTAACATGAATACAAATTTTTTAAATCATTATATTTACCTGCTTCTTTTTCATATATTACACTGCGTTACAAAAAAAATATGACTTCAGAAACTTTCTATGGGACCTAGTGGAGGTTGTAGGGCTTGAAAAACTGAGCAAAATGGTATATTTTAAATTGCCTAAACACCCTTAAAATTTTATTTTAGAGCTAAAAAACCGTTTTTTAGGAGTTAATCCACAAGAAACCTGATAATTTTCTTATTTTTTGACCGATTTTAATTTATTTTTTTTGTTTGGAAGCTGAAAAACAGATCTTTCCAACGCTATAAATATTTTTATCGTATCTTATTAAATGACGACAATAAAGACCAAAAAGTTTTAAAAAATTAATTTTTTTAGTTAATTTTTCTAGTTTCTTATAAATTTGTAACTGGTATCTCACATATAATAATTTTTTTCGTACTATGCATCGAAAGTAAAGTCGATTCTGCTTTTAATGACGCCTGATTGAATAGAATTCGTTAAAATTTGTCAAAGTTATCATACTTTAAATTTTATAGTTACATAAAGTTTTAGAGATGACTGGTCTTTTTTTACATTTATTCAGAGTAAATTCTTTGTTAACTACGCAAAATTAATGATTTTAGATTAAATTTAACTCAGAATTCATTGTTGATTACAAAAATCGTATAATACAGAATATTTTTTGTCAATAATTTTAATTTAATCTTAAATCATTAATTTTGCTTAGTTAACAAAGAATTTACTCTGAATAAATGTAAAAAAAGACCAGTCATCTCTAAAACTTTATGTAACTATAAAATTTAAAGTATGATAGCTTTGACAAATTTGAACGAATTCTATTCAATCGGGCGTCATTAAAAGCAGAATCGACTATACTTTCGATGCATAGTACGAACAAAATTATTGTATGTGAGATACCAGTTACAAATTTATAAGAAACTAGAAAAATTAACTAAAAAAATTAATTTTTTAAAACTTTTTGGTCTTTATTGTCGTCATTTAATAAGATACGATAAAAATATTTATAGCGTTGAAAAGATCTGTTTTTCAGCTTCCAAACAAAAAAAAATAAATTGAAATCGGTCAAAAAATAAGAAAGTTATCAGGTTTTTTGTGGATTAACTCCTAAAAAACGGTTTTTTAGCTCTAAAATAAAATTTTAAGGGTGTTTAGGCAATTTAAAATATACCATTTTGCTCAGTTTTACAAGCCCTACAACCTCCACTAGGTTCCATAGGAAGTTTTTGAAGTCATATTTTTTTTGTAACACAGTGTTATTTACTTGAATCTGGTTATTACTTGCTTATTCTAAAATAATTTATATTATCGTTTTATTATTGGAAAATTATTTTTTGTAAGATTAGTAACTTAAAGATCTTAGTTGACAAACTTATTTTAGTAGGATTATGGGAACACAAATTTCTTTTGCATTTCTTAATACAAAGTTCCGGTTAAGAAATGGTTACACTTTCTGATAGAAATTATTTTTTATGCAGCCAATTATTTTTTATAAACATAAGTTTATAAATTTAAAAGATTAAAAGCATAGAAATTAAAATTCTTTCACTTTTTTATTTTTATTAGAGTTTTTCTGTAGTTTTGGTATTACTCGATAAGCATGTAACAGTGATATCTTCCTGTAAAAATGAAACATATAAAAGCATAAAATGTCAATACAAATGATATAATGTAAATCATAAATCATGTATCTTACATATAGTTATAGTATTTTGACAAAAAATTAAAAAAAATTTAAGCATTTTTAACAACATATTGAAAAACCATAAAAATTGAGCTTTCGGTGAATCAGTGCCTATTCTTGATGAAGTTAAAAATATTAATAAAATCATAATATAAATATATCGAACAAAATTGTCTGAAGATCATCATAAATTATTTTCTTCTCATATTGAAAAATATATTACACATTGAATCTCTAAATTCAACATAATTACAATGTAAAGAATTTTATAATTTTAATGCATCACATAATCGAATGAAGAGATATGAATAGCAGTTTGTTATCAAACTAATACTTTATACCTAAATGAAGAATTGAATCATATGTCTAAACCAAGACGATAATTGATATTTTCATTCTACATTTAATATTATTTCACTAGTGACAAATTCATATCGTTACATACTATCACTTTAAAAACAAATTGTATTTTTGGACTTTACTTTTTAAATGTGAAGTAGTGCTTATTCACTCATTCTTACACTTTGAGATAAGAATACTACTATCATTGTCATGAGTATATCTCGCCTCCGAACAGTGAAGCAAAAGAAATATCTGTTCGAAAGAAATTTAAAGCTTTCATTTCTTAATTAATTTTTTTAATTTTTCCAATTAAAGATTATTAAATTTAATATAGATTTTTCTAAAACTATTTTTAAATTTTCACTGCTTTGCATTTCTCTTTTAGTGTAACCAGTGTTGCCAATAAAAGATAATAATTTATCGTGTTTTTTATAAAGTAAAATTATTGCATTAATAAAGGAAAGCTGAATTTTTATTTTTGATAACATATATAACTTGAAATTGAAAAATAATATTTTTAACTCTTTAGTAAGTTTTAAAAATAAGGCTGATTAGACACAGATTTATTTGTAATTATTTAATAGTTTAAAATTTGTTTGTTTAAATTTTCAAAGTCTTGAAGTAATGTTAATTTTATTTTTATTGAAATAAGACTTAATTTACAAATGCAAAAAAAATTGTAAGGCATGTGAATTTGTTTCACGTTAACCTGTCGTATAATGTCTTATGACATATCACATAAAATAGCGGAACATTTTTCTTAATCTCTTAGTAATGTCGATACGATAAAACTTAAAAAATATTTAAAATATACTTAAAATGTTGCTTTTTAAATTTAACAAATTTTTGGTCACAAAAAACCTTGTAAATTAAAAAATTTATTACTGATCGTTCTATCCATAATTTTTTCTATACCAAGTGTCTGAAAAGTATTTAAGCAATTTTATAACATCATTATTAATCCAAATTTTTGAAATCATTCTGACTTTTTTTTAGAAATAAACAACATTTTTTGTAAGTTCAAAATTCTGTTTTCTGATGGAGAATTTATACTGCAATTACTACATGAACCCATTGTCTGTACTACTCGAAAATTATCTTAACTTTAAATAGAAACAATATTTTCCAGGCTGACTTCTCTAATAGAAATATGAATAATAAGGAATTTTTTAAAAATTATCAACTGAAAATTGACGTGGAGAGTTTAAAGGAATTAAATCTAAGTGGGAATGCTTTAAACAGCTTCGTGGACTGTGCCACAACTTTACACAACTTAGAAGTTTTAGATCTTTCACGAAATTGTTTAGATAAGTTTTACTTCCTTTGTAAAGATGAATCATATGATCTAAGGTTCTTGAACGTTAGTCATAATCAGCTTGAATATATTGACGAGCGTGCGCTGAATCATAGAACTAGTAAATTAAAAGTTCTAGACGTATCTTGGAATTTTTTAAATGGATTGAACGATACAATGTTTCAACATATGGAGGTAAAGTTTACATCATATTTTGAATAAATTAGAGCATAATTAAAATAAAGATTAAAACTTTAAATGTTCCTGACATTAATAATCAATTTTTAATTTTATTTTTAGGTATTGGAACACTTATCTCTGTCACACAATCCTATTGGCGAAAATATGGATGACTTTGTATTCGAAAATTTGACTACTTTAATGTATTTAGATTTAAAAAATATATCTGTATCCTTTTTCTATCCAAAAATATTTGAAAATTTAATAAATTTAGTTCATCTGGATTTATCTTGGAATCCTATAGAAGCGATTCCGGTATTGCCTGTTAATTTAGAAATACTAGATTTATCCCAAACAAACATATATAGACTTGGGCCTTTAGAATTACCCCGTTTACGAGAACTGAGACTTGAGAGTATGCACAATCTGTCTTCAGTGAATCTAAATGATTTTGAAAAGTTGCGAAATTTAAGTTTATTGTCAATGAGAAATTCCAAAAAGTTAAAGCATTTAATAATGTGGCAGCCTAAACCCCATTTACTGCCAAAGCTTCGTTATTTAGACATTGAATATTGTGCACTTGAAAATTTGAGTAGCGAACTACGATCAACAATTGAGGGAACAACAGTATTTACATTCCAAAATAACCCCTGGAATTGTGACTGCAAAATGAAATGGATTCTGCAGTTTAATAGTACTCATAACCTCAGGAGCAAGATAGTGTAAGATATTTATGTAATATTTTGTTCTTAAAATTTACTGATTAGAATAGTGACTTAGATGTGAATGTAGGAAATGGAGCTTCAAATTCATCAAGCATCCCAATTTTTGAAAGTTTTTAATGCATGCTAGGGATCCTGGTACGATCGCAGGCGAGTCCACCGTCCTAGGGGTGATATCTCCCATAGTCGATCGACTGAACGGCCTCGCTAGACACAAAAATTTCTTTATATTTCTTTCGTAATGAATAAAAATACTTTAATTTTGTAAGCAAATTTATGTGATTCGTTTTTAAACAATGCTTCTTTACTTTACAGATGCACTTCTCCGGTATTAGTACAAAACAAACCTATAAGTGAAATACCAGTAGACGAGTTACGATGCAACACTGATATGTACAACTTTACACCGATTTTGTGGATTTTCATTATATCAGTTAGTCTTTGTCTAATTATAGTAAGCATAATATTGCTGTTTAGAAAATCTTTGACTAATTGGATTATCCGAAGAAGAAGAAGTGGAGATTCAGTTTCCTACACTAATGTTGTAGAATCTTCTAATGATCTTGTGAAAATCTTGAACGATAGTGATCTTCAAGACCGCTTAGAAGAATGTATTAAACCTTGATTTTAGTTTTCAAATTTAATTGAAAACTTAATCTCGTGCAGTAGATTCGAGCGCAATTAAATAGAAAAATTATTGACGAAATGATGTGCGAGATCAAACGGCAAGGAAATGAAGAAAAATTAATTGACCACTACCAATGTAACAGTTTATAAATACAGTCAATTTTTTGTGCAAAAAACCATAGATTTTTTATCACTTTAAAGTTTGATGTCGAGCTATAAACCACTTTCTCTCTTGACCTTAAAGTTCGGATTTATAGTTCAGTTGTAAAGTAGAGAAGGTAATTATATAAATCATAAATTCAATAAAACACATACAAATGTTGTTTAACTAATTGTATTATAATAATATTTACACTTTCATAACATACGTAAGAAAATATCTACGCTTTAACCCTAACGACATTAGACTATATCGCGGACTCTCCGGGCAATAGTCAAACAATTCCATAATAGGAAAAGCAGTGGTTTACATAAATCGCCCTCTAGACAATTTAGCTAAAAATTTTTTATATAAAACATTGAAGTAATTTTTAAAAACAAACAATGATTTATGAGGGTCTATGTATAAGTAAAAATTATTTAATTAAAACAAATTGTTAAGCAGGTTTCTTATTCAATAATTATACATCATAAAAGCGGAATAGAAAAAACTGTTATTACATCAGCATTCGTAGAACTTTGATTAGTGTATTATGTTTTAAGTAAGTTGGTTGACGGTTAAATGTCCCTCAGAGTTGCTTGTATTTATTTTATAGAATTGCATTTTATGTAAATTTCATGTTATTTGTATTAAAGTTTTGAATCCTGAATTATAATATAACATAAAATGAAAATATTTTGTTTTCTTTATTTCAATATCCACATCTGAGGTTAATAATGTGTTAATATTGCATGACGCAATGTTAAGGCAATATTGTCACAACATTAATTATATCCGACCTATTGGAATCATTAAAATAATTTTTTGTAAATTGAATACCTCCTACAGTTCTTAATATTTGAACTATGAATAATTTCCTCTAGAATATGAATCTACTTTCAAATGATATAAATTAACTTGGATTTAGAGAATAATTACTTTTCTAGACTTTTACCTATCTGACCGGATTTGTCCCGGTCTCCTCTACCCGAAATAATTATAGAAGATTTATAATTGACGAAAATAATTTTAGTTTTGAAAAATTGTTTATGAAAAAGTGATTGCTTTTTTAATTATTAAATTTAACAACAATTTGAAAAATTAAATTTAAAAATTGGGCGAAATTACTTAAAACCTATTTCTAATTGATAATATCTTTTGTTATCGTTGATTTTAAAAAGTAAAAATTTAAAACAAAGAGCATAAAGTATATATGTTATCTTCAATGAAAAGCAATGAACTGTTACATTCTTTGTGAACTTCATAATTTTCAAAGAGCAATGGAAATTCATCAACGAATAAGTTCGTTTGATAAAAATGCACACTGTTTGATATCAGGACACGTAAATCTGAACAAAAGCTTTAGAAGGGAAGTCATAAGTTTATTAAATACTTGAATTTTCCAAGGTATTCAGAGCTTTAGTATAAAAATAGAGAATAATGTGTGAATTGAATGTGTTTAAATAACAAAAGTATGTGTCTGTTCATAAAAGGGAAAAAACGGTATTCTTCTTTCTGATCAAGTTTTACTTGCATATAATAAAATAAAAATATTGCTACAATTGTGCACTGTGTAATGTTTTAAGAATTTCTATTTTAAATCAATAAAATGATTTTATAAAATCTACTTGGATATAAATTGTTTTCTCAAAACTTTATACTTGAGTTTTCCTCTTATAGGGTAAAACCGGGACCTGTATAAAATCGACGAAATATATGTATTTATTCTTTTTTTATTATAAAACAAAATGATTTTTATGTAGAATAATTTTCACAAATATTTTTCAATATACTTTCTTGTATGACATATATTAATATTATATGACAATTATGTGTATGTACTGATATTAATAGCTGTTTATAAGCACTAAATTTTGTATTTCCGGTTATAATAATGATTATAATCACTCACCTGCCTAATACGGGGGCTATGCATATGCGCCCAAATTAAATCAATAAAACAGACCCAGAAGCAATTAAAGTGGGTGGCATTAACATTTTGTTCCATTGGAAGGAACTGTATAAAAGGTGCCAACCTCGCCAAATTCACCAGTACAGAAATCGCCGTCTAATCAGCTATCTGTGTTCTTCGTGTCAGTCCAGAAGTCGAGACCGAATCAACTACCTCTCTTCTAGTCTAGAAATCACACTCTAATGTGATACCATCATTCTTCGTGTCAGTCCAGCAACAGCCACAAAGTTAGTTGTGTACTGTCATCGAGTATGTTCTTCGACTCCAGTCCAGAAAACCTCTTCAAGTACCAAGTTTCTTCTTCGGGGTCTCGTCTTAGTCAAATTCATTCAAGAAGATAATTTCTACTACAAGCCACGTTTCTGTTTTTCTAAGGACTACATTACCTCGACATCAACGTCAAATCAATAATTCGGTCACTTCAAGACTAATGGGGGTTCAGACTAATTTGCATCTACACCTGGACTCCGAACCATTCACTTTGGCTGTCCCGAAAACAATTGGAGGAAAATCTACTGCATTCTTTATTTCCGCCAGCCAACGTCTAAATTCTCCTTTATTCCACAAAGATTTAATTTTGTTTTAGAGTACCTGAAGACATCCAGATCTACACCTTCTCTTTCATTCTAATTGCAAAGGATTCAAATAATCTAAATTCAACTTAACAGTTACTCTTTCTTAAACCTGCACGGAAAAAAAAGTACGTGAATTTTTCATTGACTCGGTACTTGACTTTTGGATACGACACAAAATACTAAAAACAGTCTAGTACTTTTGCATGAGAGTTTCAAAAGCAGTCAATGAAAATTTCTAGTACCTTGCTTGAGAATTTCATTGACTTTCAAAAAAACTGTAAAATAAAAAAATAATTTCCACTTGTTCGCACCGTTTTTCTGAAATTCACTCATTCATTCACATATTTGGATAATTAATCACACAAACAAAGAACAATTATTGTATCACTTTTCGACGTTCGTCAACACTTATGAACTAACCTATAACACACACATATATTCGCGTATAACTTAAATATAAACACACACTTAACACTTAAAAGTACGTATCGAATTGTTCTTATATACCACATGGTGAAATTTTTCACGACTTCTGAGACATGCTATTTCACTGAAAACTGAGACGTACATAACATTCTGTTTTGTGAGAAACACAAAACAAAAAATATTTTTTTGAAAGTCAATTCTTGAAGACAAATATATATTAACACTATTTGTTTTTCATAAAATAATAGTATATTCACATCTGAAATTAACACAAACGGAAACAGACGATCAGCTGGCATTTACCTTGGGTAGAAACGCGCAACGCACACTGCGCATGCTCTACAGAATTTTCAAGCGCAGTCAACTAATCTTTCACGTACTTTATAAAACTGAACAAATGACTTTTCGTTAAAATTTAAAAAACACTGTTGCCCATACTAGTACTAAAATAACTCTAGGACTTTTCTATATTTTCTAATAAAAAGTATATGATACAGCCTTGTACTTTGTGTTCTATCCAAAAGTCAAGCACTTTCAAGGAAAGATTCACGTACTTTTTTTTTCCGTGTGTCCCTTAAGATCAAAGTCTTCCGCTCTGTGAATAAATCAGGTTAGGATCACCGATGCCGGACAATTTAAATGTTTATAATTTTGGGTATGTTTAGTTTCTTTCTGAGACGTAACAGTAGCTTAACTGTCTGATTTTTATATTTGTTTGCAAAAAGATTAAATGAGGTATTTGTATCCTTTCCAAATACAACAAGAATAAAAATAAACAGTGTGGTTCTTCTAGGGATTTGCAGATGTAGTGAAAAGTATTTTTCCAGATTAGTTTGTGCTTCATGTGAACTTATTCTCAATGATGGGAAGTGTTTAGAAACATTACGAATGAGTTGTGCGTTAGTTTTGTTTTCTGCATTTGCAAGAAATTGATCATCAATTATAAACATTACCTGGTGGAGTTTAGATTCTTCCTTTTGGTATCCTATTAATCCAAAAGTGTAATTGCTCATTAATGACACACTTAAAATTATTACACTGAAGAGTGGCGAGAACTTCAATGCGAAGCTTTGTGGTAAATGAATTTTCTTAACATCTCTGCAATAAGAGCGATTGTAGCCAAAGTGTATCCAATTGTCAGCACGTAGAAGAGAACCAATAGCAATTTTTCTTTTCCAATTATTTCTAGCGATGAATCTTTTTCCAATTTGACTTCAGAAATCCGTCCTTGCAGGAAACCATAATCAAAGGCCTTCAGAATTATTTCGTTTAAACGATCAATGAAAGGTGAACCATTTCTTGATAACCACGTTCTTGGGAAATATACAGTAGATTCCTCCAGTATGTTGAAAGGAAACGCTTGAGTTATATGTCCAAATGCATTTACTGCAGTTTCAGCATCAATCAGAATACAAGAAACATTTCTGTTCTTGAACAAGAACTTTAAGCATTGTTTGTTTAATCCATTACCAGGTATCCTTACTGATTTTGAGGCTAATTTTCGAATATAACCAAGAGAGCTTTTTAACATTGAATCATTTAAGAAGGGCTTAAACATTGGCGTTAACGGCGAGTTTGCTAGTTCTTTGAGTGTTGAAATTTGATGTGCCTCTCGGAAATTGATGTCTAAAATCACTGAGAATAAGTAACCGGAGTAGACCATGCAGCTTAACATGAAGGCACTAAAAACAATTCTCTCCGATAATTTTCTTGGCTCGTTGGTTACAGACATTCCCATTATTATCTGACTGATGTTGAATGTGTTCCAAGTGCTTTTGTTAAACTGTAGCAACAAAGCTACAATTCTAATGGCAGCAATAGCAATAGTTGTAGCAAATATCATGTAAACGAGCTCCTCAGAGACTTCAACACTTCCAGTTTTACTTTTTACATTTGCAATTACTGCCTTTGCTGTACCAAACGAAAAGATACGCATTGGGTAGTGTGCGATAGTATCATTCGATGATAATAATATAAAGACCTTATTTAGTGTCATTTCTGATCCTGCCTTTTCGAGAAATGATGGATTCATTATTCTTTCTGTAGTGATGTCAACTGATATAGTACAATGCATTGATTGCTCAATGTAGTTTTTGAACCTTGCTATATGAATGTAATATTCGACGGACATTAAAGCCAGTTGAATATTGAATATTAATTTTATACTTTTTCCGTGAAGGTTCAGTAGTTTATTTGGAAACCATTTTGTTCGTGGTTTAACTCTCTGATTTGTATATTTGTCTGCAAAAAGATTGATTCTGTGAATTGTTATCGCATTCTTCGTTTGCCATATTTGATTTGAAATCGAATTTTCCAGTACCGAAATATCTAGCCAATCTTTGTGCCATAGTGATTTTAGCATTTTCTCGTAAGAATAAACCTTCCCTTGATTAGAAAAGTGGATTAAACACTTTGGGAATGAATCCCTTTGGGACAAATATCGTAGTTCATCGAATGCAGCGTTTAAATGAGGTATTGTATTCTTTCCAGATACATTCAGAATAAAAATAAACAGTGTTGTTCTTTTAGGGATTTGCAGATGTAGTGAAAAGTATTTTTTTAGATTAGCTTGTGCTTCATGTGAACTTATTCTCAGTGATGGAAAGTGTTTAGAAACATCACGAATGAGTTGTGCACCAACATTGGTTTCTGCATTTGCAAGAAATTGATCATCAATTATAAACATTACCTGGTGGAGTTTTGATTTTCCTTTCAGAAATC